CTCTGCTGGGTTCAGCCCAGGAAGAGCAGGAAATGGATGAAGAGAGCGAAGAAGCTGAGGCTGAGCCTTCTCAATCCTCCTGTCCTGCGTATGATGAGCTTTTAGAGTTTATGGATCGCACCACGGCGAGGCTTGACTTGCCGTGGAAGCGAACTAAGGAAGTGACGTCGCAAGATCGTCTCGAGGAACGTTATCTTTCTGGCCATAACCTTCCAGCTCAGGTGAACCTTCCTTTCCTTCCTGATCTCCATACTGAGATCGAGAAGGAATGGAAGAGGTCGTTTTCCTCACGCATCCATCGGTTTCAGCATACCAGTTATGCGAATATCGAGGCGATGCGCAAAACGGCTATGAGAGAATGCCCCCTGTAGAAGAGACATGTGTAGCTCCCGGCGCCGATTTATACTGTAGTCGCACCGGTAGTGACGTCATGGCTGTCGCCGGCCAATGAGTTGGTGTTTTTTCAATGTATGCTTCAGACATGGGTCACGACGAGGCATTCCCCATAGCGACCCCTAGAGGATGCAGTGTCTCGTTCCCTACTCAGGGAACCATGGTTACATAAGTAACCCGAGACGTTTTTAAATAAATGACTGAAAACAGATCTTAAATAGTTCAAGCTATTATTAAACAGCAGATGTCTGGAGTTCCATCTCTGCTCAACCACAATGGTGTGCTGTGGCTTTGAAAGACATCAACACTTCAGACAAACACAAACTAATGTCTGTGTCATATGTTTCATTTTATAGAGACAAATCGTGGCATTTGTTTTACAGGTTTCCTTTCATTATTTCCTACTTCCTCATATATGTATTGTTGTGGTGTGTCTGTATGTCAGTTCATCACTCTTTCATGTGACACTGACATGGTGCTGCTCATTCTCCTCATCTTTACAATCTTTCTGGAGGTTCAACCTCAAAGTGACAACTTAAATTTTTAAAAAAATAAAATGCTATATTTTATATTAAGTGTCTGTTCTCCTCTGCTCTAGGATAGTATGCACATTTTTGTCTTCAATATTTTTGTCACAGGTGCTGATTTTAGGTACTACCAATATGGTAACACTTTATAATAAGTATACACTAATTAAGTACTAACAAATAATTTGTAAACTATTAGTTTATAGTTAATTAAGAGTTTATAAACTGTAGTTAATACATTAATAGACTTTATACAAATAGTGAGTTCTTCATTCATTATCACCGTAATTAACCAAATTATTATTGTTTAATTAGCTCATATGTAAACTAATTAACTGTTCTCACTTTTTTACTTTAGATTAGGTCATGGAAAATGGGAAACTGTGCTTTAAACCAACCTTTACTTTTACACACACACACACACACCAGAGGTGTAAAGAGTACCTAAAAACCCAGGCACAGAGAGCATGAAACCGAAACAAGAAAGAGTTGGTTTATTTTCTAAAACCAAAATAAAGCTGAACACCTCAAAATTACAAAACAAACAATCAAACAAACAAACAATATCTTTCAAAAAGGTCTCTTCAGTATAATGGATAAATAGAATAATGTTAAGTAAAATTAAAAAGCCGAAGCCTTCTTGCAGTGGATGTGTTGGTTTGGGCCTCATTGCCGACTGCAGTCATGTCCTCATCTCATATATAAAACACCTGTGATTCACAAATACTTGCTAAGGAACTCACATTCACATAAAGTAGCCTTGTTGAAAAGTTTGGGTGAGTAAGGGCGAAACGCACAAGATGCAGTACTTTCAGTGACCTGTAGTAGGCAGTATCATGTCTTTTGTAGCAGAAATAAACTGCTGCAGAAAAAGCTAGGTCCATGCAAAATGTTATGTGTAACTGCAACACTCATTTCAAACGTAGTGGAGTAAAGAGTAAAAGTTGTTCATATATTTGATACTCAGTACATCTACAAAGTATATACTGTATTTGTCTGATGGGTTTTATACTGTCCAAAAACAGTTTGGACAGTATAAAAAGCATTATGCTATGTCTATGGAGAGTTCCCGTATACCACTTATGCCAGTGTATGTGTGTGTGCATGTTCTTAATGTATTTGTTAACATTTTAAGGAACACTGAATATGAATGCAATTGATTTTTAATAAAGGTTGGTTTAAAGCACTTAATTAATGACATTTTCCCATTTTCTGTGACCTAGTGAGAACTCTTTACGGTTAACAAGTTGTTAACAAGCATTATCTCACGCTTTACATATGAGCTAATTAAATAATTGTGTTAACTACAGTGACAATGAATGAAGAACTCACTATTTGTATAGTCTATTAATGTATTAACTACAGTTTATAAGCTATGAATTAACTACTAGTTTGTGAATGATTTGTAAATACTTTGTTAGTGTATACTTATTATAAACTGTCACCTTTGAATTAAGTCTTATATATATAT